GCATAGCATAGCATAGCATAGCATAGCATAGCATAGCATAGCATAGCATAGCATAGCATAGCATAGCATAGCATAGGATAATTCTACCGTATAGATAAAATAATCAGGAGTCTAATTTACTCAAAGTTACTATATCTATCAACAAAGGACACTTTCCTGGAAATGATTTTTTTTTCCAGGAAAAATATGAAAAGAACAATCCAAATGTAATAACACTATTGATTCACAGAAAAGTTTACATTCTATAGAATTAACCTACTGGCTTTATCCTCAACTATCTCCAACCAGAACTATGAAAAATTTGTTCAGATTATTCATGCCTGAACTATTCAGCTTGTGGAAAGCTCACAAACTGCAATCCCCATAATATTTATTCAATAATCGATATACTCTACTTTCCCTCACTTACCCATTTGGTTGGTCATCTTCCCTTCTGGGCACAGGACACAGTCATAGCAGCAAGATGATTTCCCTTCTATTTTTAGCTTGCTATAGCCTAAATGACATGGGTCATTGCACATGGAAAGAGGCATTGTCTGTTAATAAATAACATTAGAAGTCTTAGTACAATCGTCTAAGGATAATGAAGTGATTCATCCAATTCCTCCCCCCCCCCCAAGGATATGTTTAAAAGCTAAATTAATTCACAAAAAGTGAAAAATGAGACACACCTGGTTGAAGATGTTGGGCCAAATGATATCCTTTGCAGAAACGGAGAGAAGATTGCCTGGGGGAGCCATGGGGTCGATCTTTCCAACTTGGACTCTCAGAAAGGACTTGTTTGGGAATGTGACCCAATTGAGAATATCAAATCCAGTGAGTAATTCCCCCTTTGGTCCAAAAGAGATCCGTTCCCCAACACTGTTGTTAAAGGAGACCTGCTGCAAAAAATGGTGGAGCTGAATGTAGAAAAAAGAAAAAGGAAAGGATTACCTGAAAGATGTTGATTGTCCCTTTCTTATTCTTCTTGATTGTATTTATTGAAGCATGTACATGACTACCCAAGTCAAACTATGTGACAGCCTGTCAGGTTAGCCTATGCTCAATGAAAAATAATCTCTCAAATTTTGTACGTAGACTATTTAAAATTGGAGAAGAACTATATCACATGCATTTTGTATACTATTACCCAATCAATGCATTTCAGCTTGCATGCTTTGAGATGAGAGCTCCATCACAAAATGCAGAAAGGGAGGAATCCAAGAGACCTCTTTGGTCAATAGAAAATTCCAGGAAAAGTGAAATGATTTTGTTTGTATAAAATGTGGACAAAATCAAAACACGATCACCTCAAAATCAAGGTAGCCATGAAAAAATAATGCCATTGAGTTAAAAGATAAAGATTTTACGTTGAATAGTTTTTGTCCATTATATGTTTTTGATCTTCCATACATTTCACAAGAATCACTTCTCAGGTTGTATCCAGGATTGATGAACATTTGAAACAGTAATAGAAAAGGACAGTAAGTCTTTTGGTTGTTGTTGTTGTTATTATTATTATTTCATTTTCTCCTGCCAAGTACTCCCTGATTACATTCAAAATTGTATGTAAATAATATATTATCTCTGTGACATTTTAAGATTAAGAATCCTTTAGCTATTTTAAGGAAGAAATCTCTCCCTGATATATACTCTGGTACTAAGCACATGTCATGATAACTTTCCTGAATTTTGCATTAGCCAACATTACCTGCCATGGTGATTGAAGCAACAGCTTCCATCTCCTCCCATTAATTATTCGACCCCCTTTGATTTTGGAGAAGTGCATGGCCCTCAGAGTATGTGCCACAGCATAGACTGCATTGTAGAGGCTGTAGCTGTGGCCAGTCATGCTCATTTCAAACACAGATTGAGAAAGAGTCTCCAGCTTCTCTTCTCCAGTGCAGAACCTTTCAGCATTCCCATCTATCATCTCACTGGAGAATGAGCATTCAAATGCGTCTTTCCAGAAATCCCTAATAAAGCCATCTTCTTTTTCAAGGTTTGGGTTTCTCTTCTGCACAAATTTCTGGAATCCTGTCAGCTCCTTTGAGTGAATTGCAAAGGAAAGAGCACCATGGAGAAAAGGCCACTGTCTTTGCATAAGAATGGAGGTGAATTCCATCTGGGCTGACATGATCCAAACTTTGGCTTTTCTCTCCTTAGGAATATCATCAGAATCTAAAAGATAGATCATTACTCTCAAAGCCATTATAGTCCAAATTTCACCATTCAAGAACACTGCACTGACTCTACTCCTCATGATCACTTTACCTAATTTATCTGTCTCTTCAATCATTTCAGCAGCTTCATTTCCATACATCATTTTGGGCATACATTCTATAAAGTCAAAGCAAATGCCTCTCTCAGAAAACATAGAAAGCCTATTTTGAATGAATCTCTCTTTATCTTCCTCATCAAAGTAAACTAACCCAACCCAGGTCCATCCAAAACGCAACAGTAAGTGTAGCATTCCTTTAAGCTGGTGGATCTCATCTGGGAACATCCATTTGAAGAAAACTGTTTCAGCTTCATTATTCATCAGTGCAGCTGATCCGTATATCAGCTAAATGGGGGGGAGGGGGAGAGGGAGAAAAGAACATAAATTGTTTTTCTCTCAAAAAGAGGAGGAAAAATCCTTCCAATATGTGTTTGTTGATTGACACACATTTTGAATTTCTGAAAGTACTCCCCAAGACCTATTATAAACCACTTTCTTGAATACTTTAGAAGATGGAAGATATAGTTGGGTTGATGGTTGAACATTAAAGTACAGCAGTAGCCATAATTCATTTTATAGATCAAAAATTGCTCATGTTCTTGCCTCAAAATTTCATGCTTCTAGGAAATACCTGGGAAAATTTGTTAGGAGGTTCTAAACAATGTTGGAGACAGGGGAAAAAGGCAGAAAAAGGATGAAGACCCAATGAAAGAAATAGGTGTACTATTCCATCCTGAGGTAAATAAAGAACATTTCCTTTCTTATATCGGGAAAATATTTCATAAGCACAGAAGGAAATGAAACATCAAAAGTAATTTTATCATTATTATCCTTGGTTCTGTCTGAAGCAACATCTGAATAAATAAGTACTTAACATCCTCTACCTTGAGCTACTTCTACATCTCACCTGTGGAAATTTGTAGTTGTACAGCATGGTTGCCATATTGAGACAAGTCTTAGTACGGGGTCCTCCAATGACAGCTACTACATTGTTCTGGATATCACACCTGTAGTTAGGGACAAATCTGTCTTTTGTAGATAGAAATTCCATTGCTAAATGGTAAGTTGACCTTGCCTCAAAATTATCACTAGCGATATGGAAGCCAAGGGTAACATTTTGCAAGAGCTGGGAATGTTCATTGATCTCCTTTACAGCAAATGCCAGAGCCAAAGTGTGCTGGTAGTTATGAGTGAGGAACCTTCAAGTGGATTATAAACTAGGTCAATATATTTGTGCTATAGAATCCGACATGTACCACTTTTTATTGTTACATATATTCATGCACAGAAAAAAGAAATGGTGCTAAATATTTCTCTGGATACCTGGAAGTGTGGCTTTATAAAACAATCGCTCAGTGCTGTATGGATGTGGAAACCGTGACTGAGACAGGTTACCTACGTTTGAGATAAGAGAGCACTTTTAGCCTGCTTTCTTCTGTCTTTAGGATTCCCATTCTGGGAAATTTCTAAATTGATTGAGATTGCTCTTTTGGGATTGCTGTGGGATGCAATACTTTTCCAACTAAGTGTGAATGGAAGGGGGAGAAGTTGCATGTGATTTCAATTTTATGAGCAAAACATTGCAGGTTACCCAGTATTTTTGTATGGTTGATACTTTAAATAGCCCACCATAAACTTTTAAAAGTTTGAAATAATTTCTCAAGGGTACTTGAGGATTTTCTTGCTTCATTTCCTGTGTGAGATGAAGAAGAGGAAGCTCAAGATGAGTCAGAATATCCAGTCTCTTTTGAGGGTATCTGAATGCCCTAGATCGGGCATGCTATTGACCTCATGATTAATCATAGTGGGGAGGGAAGGCAGAGGTCTTGACATTTCCTGGGGTGTGTGTGTGTGTTTGTGTGTGGCAGAATCCATAAAGTTTTGTGGATGAAAAACAGAAATATTTGTCTCATTTTACATTCAAGTGTTAGGAAAGGTTAAATGTGCGTAATCCTAAGAATTTAGAAATGGCTCACTAGGGAAAGTGCAACTCATAATACATTTGAGCACAAAAGGTGATATCTTTACAGAATAGCATCTGGGGTGAAGGCAGGGGCTGGTATTGCTGGCGATTAAAATTTGATACTTACAGGTGCTGATCAGGCACTTCATGAGAAGGAAGACTTTGAAAAGTGATGTCATTTGAAAGAAAGAAGAGTTGGAAAATAATGGCAGCAACGATGAGGTCTCCGGACTGATAATACTTGTGAACAATTGGAAGAGGACCACTGATATTGCAGTGAAGAACAGGAGAAATGTACATCAGTGCAGGAAGAAAAATTAACTCTAGTGCTCTTAATATAATCATCTCAATATAAACAATGGCTATTTAGAGATGAAACAGTAGATCCCATGTTTCTCAGGAGCAGGGTCTGAACTAACCAGTCACTCATGGTTATAATATGAAGTGAAGACAATCAAGTATCAGAGCTCAGACAATTATTTTCTAATATTTATGTAAGGAGGGACCACTGTTTCATCAGTGGCTACGGGGATTCCCTGAGACCTGGGGGAGAAAGAACAATGACTATACTTAAACTGATAATTACCTGGGAGATAATAGCTTAGTTACAATGATACTTTCTTTGAAAATTCTCCTAAGGATGAAACATGCTTACTTTAGCTTAGTAGAATAGTTGCACTCCTGTGAACTTTTAAAACTTAGATACGAAGCAGAAAATGAGGGGAGCACCATATGCACAAAAGAAGAAAAACTTGGGAAATTCTTTATTCCAGAGACATTATCATGTTGGGCAGATACATATCTATAATCAGGTTCTGAATATTCTTGATCCAAAACAAAGTTTAAAAAGAATAGAAGTTCATTTCCTGAGATCATTTTGTCAGTCTTTCAGCTTAATGCAGTGTCCTCAATGAAAAGTGGCAGTATAGTATGTTTGCTTCAATCAAGGATGGATTGAAAGAGGGAGATAATGCTCTTGTTTTGGCATGAGTCAATTGGAAATGAGGATCAGCAGTGAGGGTGCAATCTGTAATGCTCTCCCTATGTATCTGTCTGCCTCTATCTATCTATCTATCTATCTATCTATCTATCTATCTATCTATCTATCTATGTTCTTTAACCTCCTGATTTACCTCTCTTTCACTGGAATCTCCATGCAGAGCAAGAGGGACATGTTACAGGTTGGGGGAGAGAAGCACATTTAGACTTGCCAGATTTTGTTACTACAGGTAGTCTTCAAGTTACGATGGTAATTGGGCCCAGAATTTCCATCGGTAAGAGTTGCAGTCATAAAGCGTGATGTCACATGACTACATTGCTTAGTGATGGCAAACCCAGCAGTCCCTATTGCCATAGTTAACTGAATCTCATTGGTTGTTTAGCGAGGATCCACCCTTCCACCCACTCTGCTCACCCTGTTGCCCACCCACTCACCCTGCCACCCTGCCATTCTGGGATCCACCCTGCCACTCTACTGCCCTATGCTCCATTCGCCCTGCAGCTTTGGGCTCTGCTGACCTTCCTGCTTTGCTCCCCCCAGCTGAAAAGGCACACCTGACTTGGCCCTTCAAGAGGCAGCTGCTGGCTGCACCAGGCCTTCTTCCCAAGGCTTCATGCGGCCTTGTCCAAATTGCATACGGCTTTCTCCTGGGGGCTCGGAAGGCTTCAAAGCCTTCTGAGAAGGCTGCTGTCAGGTTCAGCCCAAGAAACTCAGTGGGACGATTCTGGAACAGTTCAGTTACTTTTTTAGCTTACACCTACTAGACAGAATCTTGCCAGACTAACTCTAACTCCCAAAGACTGCAACTAAACACTCCGAATTCCTTAGGGTGGTGCCAGTCTCATCCTCTTGGCTTTCACACGCTCAGGCTGCAGGCTGAGGAGATGCTTGAGATTCTTCTCACTCTCCCCATGACCTTGGACCTCCTCACTCAAGTCTTCGATCACATCACCCTTCTCCCCAATTTCATCCTCCCCCTCTGAGTTCTCATGAGAGCTAGGCAGTGGTGGCAGAGATGAAAGCACAGGTGATGAGGCTCTATCTGTGTCTCCTTGTGCCTCCCCCAATTCATCTGATTGGTCCTGCAAAACAGCTACAGCATTACTAGAATCAGTCCCCCTCCCCCCTAAAAAATGTAAACCATAAGTGGAAGGCTATGGGCTCCGTGCCCCAGCCCTCTCTGACCCAAAGGCCCTCACCAAACCTTCCATACTTTTCAGGCATGCTTCCAGGAGAATGCAACAACAACGGAAGGGCCACTGCAACATTCTGCCCAGCTTGCCCGAGTCTCTGGGCCATTTGGGCCATCACCGCTTGTAAATTATTTATCTGGGTGTTGACTTGTTGATGTTATAATAATGCCGCCGCCAAAAGCTGAGGTGTCAAATTAGCCCCCTGGGGATCCATTGCCGTACTTTAAAATTCCTCCCTCATAATGGGAGTAGGGGTCTGACAAAATTGATGTCAGGTTCAGCCTAAGAAACTCAGTGGGATTATTCTGGAACAGTTCAGTTACTTTATTAGCTTATACCTACTAGACAGAATCTTGCCAGACTAACTCTAACTCCCAAAGACTGCAACTAAACACTCTGAATTCCTTAGGGTGCTGCCAGTCTCATCCTCTTGGTTTTCATATGCTCAGACTGTGGGGTGAGGAGATGCTGGAGATTCTTCTCATTCTCTCCATGACCTTGGACCTCCTCACTCAAATCTTCCACGACAGCCACCCAGGGTTGCACATTGCCCAAATCAAGCAGAGCCCAGGGCAGCTGGGTCAGCAGAGGGCAGCGGACTGCTGGTCAGAGTTGGGGGACAGATCAGCGGGTTGAGGGAGTTGAAACGCCCCTCCGGTGTTAAGTGCGGGCAGGCTGCCAAGTGCCTAAATTTTGATCATGTGACCACAGGGAAGATGCAAAAGCTGTAACTTTGGGGACCAGGCATAACTACCATTTGTTCAGCATTGCTGTAATTTTGAATGATCACTAAATAAATGGTTGTTAAGCAAGGACTACATTTATAACCTTATAATAAAAGTAGTATGGCCTGCATGAGTTTGATTTCCTACTATGGTCTACCTTGAAGGACTGAGAAAATCTTGCCAGTCTGTGGATTAGTCCGGGGCCTGGTGGGAAAGGCATTAAATAAAAAAATAAATAAATAAATAAATAAATAAATAAATAAATAAATAAATGAATTCCTACATTTATGAGCTGTGGTGAGCTGCCGAGGATCATAATATGAAATAGAAAACCATATATATTCTATAAATAAACAAACAAATAAATCTGGGTAGAAAAGGGAGTGTCACCCCCCACCCACTGCCAAGTCATGCCATGCTGCCTCATCATGGCAGGGTGGTATCCCTGGGGGGGATGAGCGAAGATTGTCAGGAGTGTATGCCAAAAGTCCATATTTCCAGCAGGATCGCCCAAGGTGTGGAAGTCATTCCAGCACGCAGGCAGCTTATACTTGGCAGCAGTGATACAGGAAGAAGCTGAAGGCAGATGATCATGTTAGTGACAATGGCAAAGGCATTAATTCATATTGCCTGGGAGAAAGCAACGCTAAACCACAGTAAGCTCAGCACAGTGAAAGATGAAATGAAGTGACTACAAATTGGCACCTTAGGCATCAACAAATTGAGATGGATTGATTTGGGACACTTTCAGTCAGAAGATTATACTGTTTATTACTCAGGACATGAAAAACAAAGAGAAATGGCATGCTTTTAATGTTAGGAAGGGTATAGCAAGAACAGTACTTGGCTACAATATAATCAATGATCAAACAATATCAATTAGATCTGGTGGACAACCCTTTAATATGATGACCTTCAACTTTATGCTCCAACCAATAGTGCAGAAGAAGAGGAGACAAAGAGAAATGGCATGCTTTTAATGTTAGGAAGGGTATAGCAAGAACAGTACTTGGCTACAATATAATCAATGATCAAACAATATCAATTAGATCTGGTGGACAACCCTTTAATATGATGACCTTCAACTTTATGCTCCAACCAATAGTGCAGAAGAAGAGGAGGTTGATGAGTTTTATGATCGGTTCAAACTGGTATCAACAGAACATGCAA